GCTGGGTTTTAAACACCAGAGGCTCAGCCTCAAAACTCAAGTCTACATGTCACCACAGTAGGACAAACCGACAGACAAGTTTGTCTTGCTGTTGGAGACCTCTCGTATCACCCCCAACTGGGTCCCGGTGGCTGACTGTACCTCTGTCTGGCTTCCTGGCTTTAACCCCTTTCTCCTGTTCTTCTGCCCTGCTGTTTTGTGCGTCCCTGAGTTGTCCCTGGGGCTGACTGCTCCTCTGTCCGGGTTTCTGGCTTTTTATCCCCTTCCTCCTGCTCTTCTGGCCTGCTATTCTGGGCGGGCCTGAGTTGCCACTCCTCACCTAATCCCTTCGGCTGACTGCTCTTTTCTCTGGCTTCCTGGCTTTTAAACCCCTTTCTCCCGCTCTTCCCACTAGCTACTTTGGGCGTCCCTGAGTTGTCTCTCCTCACCTGTAAGCCTGGGGCTGACAGCTGGATAGAACAATGCAAATGTGAGGTGCCTGTGGTGCATCAAGGGGATTGGACAGTTTGCTAATAATGTGAATGAGGTACATGGCACCCCTGTGGGAATGGAACCATGCAAATAAGGTGTACAGAGCCCTAACGTGGATCGGTCAGTTTTGCCATCCCACTAAGCTTAACATGAGCCATCTCAGAGGTGGAAAGGGAGTACCTGACCACCACCAAAGGGATGAGATAAGAGTGGAGCATGTCCTTTGGATCTGGGGTCCCTGAGCGGGGAACCTCCTCCACCCAGCAGGCAGGGAGCTATGACTCCAGAGATGGTGAAAGGCTGGAGAAGTGGTGACAGAGAAGCAGCGGCAACAGATCCGGAACAGCAGGCGACAGCGTGGTGGGTGGCCCAGCCCCCCGAGGGAGAAAGCTGAGCGCCTTTGGGCAGGAGGCTGGCTGGCAGAGAGGTGCCGCTGGGCACCCAGGTGGCTGAATGTGCCGACCCGTGGAGCCAGAGCTGAGACCTCTGGGCACTTACCAACAGAGCTAAGAGTTTGGTAACTTGCCCAAGCAGAGCAGAGGCAAAGGGGCTGCAGGCCAAGAGGGTTAGGGTCAGAGGCAGGTATGCCTACGGGCACTGCTGAGAAGCTGTCTTGATTGAAGAACTGTATCTTGGGTTATTTCTGATCCTAAATTGCAACCTGTCACTTCCCCAATAAACCCCATAATCATATTTTAAGTTCTGTGTGATCACTGCAATAAATTACTGAACCCATGCTGCGGGAGGGGTTTGGTGCCACAAACTGTAAAATAAGAATGGAGGCATGTCTGACCTCTGTCTCAAAGGAATCAGTTTTGGGCTGTTGACACTGATGGTGATTCTCTCTTCCCCTTGTCAAGTTAGAGGTCACATCCTTCCACCATGCTTGTTACAGGAAGCTTCCACTCTTTCCCAGGTATCTGCCACACACAGGGCACTCGGACAGGTGCTGTTATGAAACAGACAAGGTTCTGGCCCCACTAGACTGTGAACTCCATGAGAACAGGCACCAGGTCCACCTTGCCCATTGCTGCATCCAGGACCCAATACTGTGCCAGGCACATAAAAGGCACTCAGAATACATTTGCTGACTGGAGTTCACAAAGAGAAAAGATATTTTATTACTGCATCTCCCTGCCCACCCTTCTGTGGGGGAAGAAACCAAGACTAGGCAAGATTGAAAGCTAGTGGCACTTTCCATCCTGTGCCTTCTCTTAAACCAGGCTTTACCCAAATGAGTCAGTCCCAAGCCATTCACCATTTTCACACTACTTACACCTGTGTTAGAAATCAGCTCATTTTTTCACTTATGGAAACTTTACACCAGTCACTTGTCTTAGACAGGAACTGGAAAAAATAGAGCAAAATAATGTTATATCTAATATTACATAAATTGCAGTTGGCCGATAAGTTACGAGCCTTTTTTTTTTTTTTAAAGAGAAACTGGAGCTAAGCAGTTTTCATCTTTTTTTTTTCCTCACCATAACTCTCAGGAAATCTACTTCATATCAAACCCCATACATGTAATACAAGCAGTTCTATGTGTGATACAGTCTAACATGTTCCAATCTAAGATACTATCTCATTTTAAAAATGTGGTTGCAGCCCACTACATTTGTTTCATGACAAATTTATCACGTACATATTAAGAAAATAAAAGCTAAATTGAAACAAAGCCAAACCCATTGCCACTGAGTTAATTCTGACTCATAGCAACCCTATATAGAACAGAGCAGAACTGCCCCATAGGATTTCCAAGGCTGTAAATCTTCACAGAAGCAGACTGCCTCACCTTTCTCCTGTGGAGTAGCTGGCGGGCTCGAAACAATCTTTCAGGTAGCAGCCTAGGTCATAGGTCATAGCCACTGCACCACTGGGGCTCCTACAAATGCTGGATTGGAGGACTGGAAGAGGACTGAAGAGAAAAATGTTTCCATTATATGGTTCAATGTTTTTTAATGTCATGCCCATGTACGTATGACATGCATGTCACAATTTGTGAGAAACCCCATCCTCGATGCATTTTAAATAATCAATTCTGCCTAGAGCAAGTCCTATACATAGGTGTTTTTTGAGAAGAGTCAAACTGCAGATAAAGATGTTTAACAAACACAGACACCACTGAAAAATATCTCAACATCTTTATTTAGATCTTCACTCAGATTCATAGCATTCTTTCAAGTTTACTTTGAAATAAATACCTGTGTGTGGCTGTCACACGTATTCTTTCATCCAACCATGGTCCTCTTTCTCCCTCTCAAGCGGACTTCATCTAACTTTTTTAGCACTGGCTTGGCCTTTCTGGAGGAGGAAGAGTAGCTCTTCAGAAAAGCCTGAAACACAGTCTCGGTGTTGGGATGAGTACTGAGGAACGCTTTCTCGAGGACATAGAGGTCTACTCCCTTATCTTCCGGAAGTGCTGAAACGAAACTCAGCCCAAAGTCTATGAGCACGATGTTCAGCTGTTCCAGGGGGGGTTTCAGGAGCATGTTTGAGGTGGTGAGATCTCCGTGAATCAGGTCTTCATCGTGCATTCGAGCTAAAACCTGCCCAACTGTCTTGGCTAAGCAGAAGAGACTTTCGGGAGCTTTTTCAGACTCCAGGGTGGACTGAATATAATCTCGAACAGTCACCGAATCTTCAATGTCTTCCATGTATAAGCAGTTGGAAGCATAGTCCACAAAAAACACAACTGGGGCAGAGATCCCTGCAATCAAGACACAAGCCATCACTGCGTTGGATTCTTTTTTTTTTAATGGAACGTTTAATTTTCAAAGCTCGAGCCAGTTTTTTTATAGTCTGTGTCTGTTTATTTTATGAAAAAGACTTGGCATGGTAAAGCTTAAGTACTCTGAAGTTCCCCCTGGTTATTGCCTGCAGGACTGTGCCTAAGACCACCCCACACCCAAATTTAGGAGTATCAAAGCTTCCTCCCCCTTTCCCACACCACTCTGTGACTGGGCTTCAATTATCATGCTTGCTCCTTAAAACAAACACAGTACCAAACAAAGAGCCAGAAGGGGCAGCACAGCCTGGTCACAGCACTTCCTGATGAGGATATCAACAGGAGGCCAAGGAGTATGTCGGCTTAGAAACTGATCTTTGCAGTCAGAAAGGGCAGGGTCCAGATCCCAACTCCCTTCCTTATTAGTTATGTCACCGTAAAGTTACATTCTGAATCTGACTTTCATTTCAGCCAGAATACGCCTTAGAAGTGAGGGTGGTGAGGCTGTGTCTCACATACTTCGGACGTATTATCAGGAGGGACCAGCCCCTGGAAAAGGACCAGCTTGATAAAGTAGAGGGTCGAAAAAAAAAGAGAGACCCTCAACGAGACTGACACAGTGACTGCAACAATGGTTCAAGGGTTGCAGTGACTGTCAGGAGCAGGCAGTGTTTCATTCTGTTGTATGGAGGGTCTCTGTGAGTCAGAAGTCACTCAACAGTATGTTGTTGTTGTTGTTGTTGTTATGTGCCATCAAGTCAAACCCAACTCATAGCGACCCCTCCTTGGGTTTCCCAGGCAGTATCACTACGGAACTAGGATTGCCCAACCTTCCTTCCGAGGAGCGGCTGGTGGGTTTGAACCGCCAGCCGTCTGGTTAGCAGGCAAGTGTCTTAGCCACTATGCTACCAGAGCTCCCCAACAGTATGTAACAAGGACAAAAAAGTTCCATGAACTTTCCTAAGCTTGTTTCTGTTTTTATAACAAAGAATAATTATCTCCAATGACCACATTCTGTGAGCCTTTATTGAATGCCAACCATACCCAGGACACTGTTGTGGGGACTGGGGACATGATCAGCGGAGATCAATCAAGCTACAAAGAAGGCAGCCAAAATCCCTGCTTAACGGAACTTAGATCCTAGAGAAGGTGAAAATAGAAAATATGAACATACAAATAACTTCCCTTATATCCAGGGAAAGCAGAGATGTGTCTGCCTGACCACCACTGAACTCCCCCTGATCTCTCAGCACCTAACAACTTCCTGATACACAGGAAGTGCATCTTATTTTAATACAGAAGGGCAGGAAGTGTAAAAGTGAAAAGTCAGTCCCTTCCAAATCAGACCAATGTGGCTCAGAGGCCTGGGCAGGCCACTTCCTAGCTGTGTGACCTTTGGCAAGTTATCTCCCCTCACTGAACTTCAGTTTCTCATCTGAAGACAAGACTCACAGCAATGAGTGCAAAAAAACAAACAAAAAAATGATTTCCTGAAATCTAGTATTCATTGAACACTTTGTGCCAACCATATATTCAAACATAATACACGGTGAACACATCGTCACAACATCCCTATGAGGTGGGGACGTTACCATCACCTTCACTTTACACGTGAGGAAACTGAGGCTGTGAGAGGTTAAATAACTTGCTGAAGGGCTGGCTACATATGAAACTGCAGAGGCAGCATTCGAACGAAGTCTGCTTCTTAAATGAACAAGACCATAGTCTCGCGGAACATCACAACTGGTTAAATATAGCTCATAAAGTTTCTGATTTCTATCCTAGCTGGTAAGAGGTGTCTGCCTTAAAAGCGTGCAGGCAGCCATCTAAGATATGCCTGTTGGCTACTCGTCCAAAAAACAAAAGAGAAAGAAGGAAACCAAAGACTCAATAAAACAGAAGAACAGTCTACGTGAAACACCGCTTGGTCCACCCTGAGACCAGAAGAACTAGATAGTGCCCGGCTACCACTAACGACTCTGATCACAGCCACAACAGAAGGACTTGATAGAATGGGAGAAAAATGTGAAACAGAACTGAAATTCTTAAAAAACTCGGAAACACAATTTGGAAAATAATTTAAAAAAAACTAATGAAAAGATGAATGATCGAAATTTGAGCTCACGAGGGAGGTCCAAACGGGGAAACTGAGGTTCAGGGAGGTTTAATACCACTATCAATGTTGAGCCGTGGGCAAGACCCCGGATGTGAACCAGGAAGAACGGATCCGGAGCAAAGGCTCGCTGCCGCGAGGCCACGCAGCTTCTTAAAATTCAGAGAGAGAAGGCAGAAAGTACAGATGGAGGAAGCGAGGCAAGCAAACAAGGAGGAAGCTGTCTGCCTGGCCTCGGAGCCTCAGGGTCCCCCCCACACCCCGAAGCCGGGCCTGCCTTACCTACCTGCGCGGCGACAGCGAAACAGCGCCCGGGCCTCCTGCACCGTCCGCCGGCGGCTGAGCCGCGCCTCCAGCAACGGGTGCCGGTAACGCTTCAGGAAGCGATGCTTCACTACGGCCGCGCGGCCCTGAAAGCGGCCTCGGAACACACGTGCCTCGGCGCCCTGCTTCAGCAGCTCTAGGCCGCTCAGGAAGCGGTTGCTTCGCTCCCGGGCAGCAACCAGCGCCTCAGCCTCGGGCGCCGGGTCCTCGCTATTCTCCAACGAAGTAGCACTGGGCGCCGCCATGATCGCGCCTCGACGCCGATGGGAGCCCCTCGGCTTTCTCCGGAAGCTGTCGGAGATGCTTCGGCTAACTCCGGAAATGCTCGGCTCTCCTCGGTCACTCCCATGGCTCCACCTCCAACCCATCTGCCTATGGGAGTGGTTCGCTTCTCAACCTTTCAGGTCTTTCCGAAAGCCTTCGGCGTCCTCGGGAAAGCCCTTTGTGGCCCCGCCTCCTACTCTTCGGCTATCTTCGTAAACCTTCGGTAAACCTCGGTTTACAGTCTCTGCTCTTCCGGTCTCTGCAGAAGCGGAGTTTTTGATGGCCCCACTTAGTTCTTGGCTCTTTCTGGTCAATTTCGGTACTTCTAGCACATAAACTTTTCGAAAGCTTTTTGCTCTTTCTGGAAGTCTCTCTCCATACTGAAACGCCACACTCCTCGACCCTTGGTACTAGTTTTAAGTGCTAGGATAGGTTGTCTGAAGCCACCACGAACGCTGAATTAGCAAAGATACTCGAGCCCGTTGCTCCTAGAAAGGATGTAGGGCTAGGTTCCTGTGAGCCTCTGGTCACACATTTTTGCCAACCGATCCAAACAAACCGTTTGCAGTTGACTTGATTCTGACTCATAGGAACGTTATAGTTGAGGGTAGAATTGCCACATCTTTCTGTCACAGGACAGTGGGTTCGCCCAACTTTTCACTAAGTAACTGAGCGCTTTAACCTCGACCACCAGGGCTCCTTAATCAATGCATGTTGTTGTTGTTGGCTGCAGTCAGTCAGCTCCGACTCAATACACAACAGATCGAAACACTGCCCAGTCCTGTGCCAACCTCACAATCCTTGCTATGCCTGAGCCCATCGTTGCAGCCACTGTGTCAATCCATCTCATTGAGGGTCGTCCTCTTTTTCTCTGACCCTCCACTTTACCAAGCGTGGTGCCATTCTCCAGGGAATTGTTCCTTCTGGAAGCCATGCATAGCCTTGTTTTATGTGTATTTCTGTTTATAGACACTTTGTTTAATGTATATTGTTGATCCATTAACATGGAAGTCATGGCCAACAGTGCCAGGTAACACATGCCAGAACAAAGTTTATCTGAATACCCGTATTTTCTTCATAAGACATATCATAGCTTTACTGTACTAGGGAGCCCTAGATAGCGCCTCATCACTATGCCTGGGAGCCACTTTAAACAACAAAATCACCAACAAAAAGCCTCCAATGGGAAAAACATGCCACCAAATAGACCAAAAAAAGGACACTTGTTTTTAGTATCAGAGCTGAAAGTGGCCAGAGTGTCCCCCTTGTTCAACCTCGGCTGGAAATGTGTATTTGGGGCAACTCAACTTTTCTGCTGCTCTGTGCGTGTCTCCAAGTGACTGCAAGAGCAACCCGGGTATTGACTTTGGGGTTACAAGTCAATTTTAGCAAGTGGTCGAATTCACCAAGAACGGAATCTGCAAATTATGAGGACTGACTGTGATGGCACCTATTACAGAGTGCATTCAGGGGTCATGAGGTTCAGTGATTAAAAGTCATTTTACAGAAAAGGAGTTTGAGGCTTATAAAGTACACTTCATGAGGGTAGTGGGAGTGGTGAGGCGGAGGTAGGATCAGGGAAAGTTTCCCAGAGGAGACAAAACCTGAGCTGTGTTGTTGTTACTGTTGTTAGGTGCCGTCGTCTCCAACTCATCGCGACCCTGTGCGGAACAGAATGAAACACTGCCCAGTCCTGTGCCAGCCTCACGATCCCTGCTATGAGCCCATTGTTGTAGCCACTGTGTCAATCCATCTCCTTGAGGGCCTGCCCTTATTGCTGACCCTCCACTTCACCAAGCATAACATCCTTCTCCAGGGAGTGGTCCCTTCTGACAACATGACCAAAGTAGGTGAGACGAAGTCTGGTCATTCTTGCTCCCAAGGAGCATTCTGGCTGCATTTCCTCCAGGACAGATCTGTTAGTTCTTTTAGCAGTCCATGGTACTTTCAGCATTCTTCACCAGCACCACCACTCAAAAGCATCAACTCTTCTTCTATGAGGCAATTGAGCTGTGGTTAGAGGAAATAAACTTTTGCTGTTGATGGCCATTTTTTTAACTGGAAAGCTAACATGGGTGTAACAAATTCTTACAAATCAGAATTTTGCACATACCACAAAACAATCAAAGACTGCCTATTGTCCTCCCCGATATACCTCTCTCCTACTCACTTTATAAAGTCTATTTCCAGATTTTTTTTTTCAATACAGTGCCTACACTCATGCACTTACGTTGTTGTCGGTTGCTGCCAAGTCAACTCTGATTCATGGCGACATAGGTGTAACAGAGCCAAAGATTGCCCAGTCCTGTGCATGTCCATGATCTTTAGTATGTTTCTCATATCCTCCCAACACAAATGACATCATGTTGTGTATTCTTTTCCAATTCGCTTCCCCCTCAGGCAATTTATCTTAGACAGTTTTCCATATCACTACCTGTAAAACTGTCACATCCTTCCTTCTAAATGACCACGCAACCAGTTCCCCATTGCTAAATTGTTGTTTCCAGGGTTTTTTTGTCTGTTTACTTTTTGTTTTGGCTTCTCTTACAAACAATGCTGCAATGAAGTAGGCTTATCCAGGCATCTTTGCCCAGAGCTTGAGTGTTTCTGAGGGTATCTTTCTAGAAGTGATGTTACTGGGTCAAAGGAGATGAACATCTTAAAATCTGGCCCATCAGCCAAACTGCCATCTGAGTTTTGTGCCTGCGTGCTCTCTCATCCCACGTGTATCTCACCTCCCTGTACCTTAATCCTTATTGATTTTCCCAGATTGCCAAAGCCTCACCACGTGCAGGAGTAGGAGGGTGCTCGGCTTCCAAGCAGAGAGAACAGATGCAGCCCAGGGTTAGGCTGGAGAAGGGCCAGCAGCTCCATGTGGCTGGTGCACGGTGGTGCTGGGGACAGGCCGAGAGCTGAAGGGACAGGGCCAGTGGCCTGGGTCCAAAGGACTCTTGGGACTAAAGGGAGGCTGCTGCAAGACTAGGGTGACTGCACCAGGAGTGTGTCTTTGAGGCCTTTGCCTCTAGCCATGGAGTGGGCAGGTGGGCTCTGGTAGAACAGACAAGCAGTGAAGGGTGGGGAGGGGTTACTACTTTTCAGACCTAAGCCTTCTTGAGCCTAAGGTGGCCCTGACAAAGTCTTGTGCCTCTCCCTTAGTTCCTACTCATCAGCACCAGGTGCCCATTCATTCATTTATTCAGCAAGTATCTAGTGAGTGACTGCAATATTCCAGACCCTGTGCTAGACCCTGGGGAGACAGTAGTGAACAAAACCAAGAAAAATTCCTGCCCTCATGTATTTCGGAACAGAACTCTTCATAGGGTTTTCAAAGGCTGTGATTTTTCAAAGGAGCCCTGGTGATGCAGTGGTTAAGCGTCTGCCTGCTAACTGAAAGGTCTGTGGTTTGAACCCATCAGGCACTCTGTGGGGGATTCTGCTTCCCCATAAAGACTACAGCCTAGGAAACTCTGTGGGGCAGTTCTATCCTGTACCATAGAGTTGCAACGAGTCAGAATTGACTCAATGGCACAGGTTAACAAGTGATCTTTTGGAAGTGGATCACCAGGCCTTTCTTCCAAGGTGCCTCTGGGTGGATTAGAACCACCAACCTCTCAGTTAGTAGCTGAGCAGTTAACCACTTGCACCCAGGAACTTCAAACCTAGGAACAGTGCCTTAAATATGAGACATGTTCATTTCTCTCTTATGTAACTGGTGGACCAAGGCTTGCAGACCACTTCTGTCACGTTCAACCTGCAGCTTCCTTCTCTAAGTCAAGGCAGTTATCCCATGTTCACCATCTCCAGTCAGCAAGATGGAGGAGAGGAAGCAGGGAACAAGCAGCTAAGGACTGGTCCTAAAGTCACACACATCACTTCCACTCACATCCTACTGACCCGAACTTAGTCACATGACCCAGAAAGCTGCAAAGGAAGCTAGGACTCCTTCTCTAGCAGGCCAGCCATGAACTCAGCTAAAATTTTAGGAGGATTATTCCCAAAAGGAAGCAAGAAAGAAATATTGGAAAATGATTAATAGGCTCTGGCATAGTTTTGAGGTTTTAAGCTGCAAGTAACAGATTGGCCACTAAAAGATCTTAAACAGTAAGTTCATTTTTCACCTAACAGAATAACCTCTCTGAAGGTAGGAAGTGGGAATTTATTTCAGTGATATCAAGGCTCCATGACTTTTCCATCTATCTGCCACACCAGTCTCTGTATGCTATTTTTGTCCTTATGCTTGTCACCCGATGGTCACAAGATGGCTGCCAAAGTTCTACCCATTATATAAAGATACAAAAACTTCTGACTGAAGAAGTGAGGTGCTCTCTTTATCTGGGAGCAGCTCTCTTTATCTGGGAGAAAACAAACCCTCTCCTAGAAGTCCCTCCTTTCCCCATCAGACTTGGCCTCCAGGACATTGACCCTGATTGGACCGTGTGGCTTTGCCTTAGCTGCAGAGGAAGCCGGAAAAGTGAGAACCTGGCATTTTCCTCCTCTATAAATGGGGACATACTCTACAAGCGAGGTGGACGGGAGCTGGGCTCGTAGGGAGGCTGCCACTGTGTGTCACATGGTGTGATGACCAGTGAGCACCATTTCTCTGAATTTCAGCTGCATCATCTTCAGAATGGATATTATTCATGGCACTTTGCTGAATGCTCCTTAAGATTAAATAAGATGTTGTTCGTGACGATGCCTGGTGGATAGTAGACACTCTTCATGTTTATTTTCCTTTCCTGCACCTTTGGGGCCCTGCTTGAAATGCCTGAGTAAGGCCCTTTGGTGCAAGGGGTGCTATGATGCCAAGGCCCTCAGTTCTGCAGCCCTTGGGTTTCATTCATACACACACAGGCCACCTTTGCAAACATCAGACCTTTGTGTTGGCATAATATGGTTTCCAGCATAGCATCTTTTATCAGCCTAGGCTACTCAAAGCTCACCCAGAGCAAATTCTATCTGTAACATCCAGTTTCCCATGTTTGTGACTTCATTGTCATAATTGTTAGTGTCCCATAGCCATCTGTG